GCATGGATGAGCAGCTGCATAACAGCAGCAAACCAGTGGAAAGCAGCTACCATGAGGGCCAGGTCCAGGAAATCAGGGCTACTCAACTGGCCCTTGGGTGGGATTCTTTGAACATGGTCTCCACTGGGAATACGCTTCATAATGGTGAGTCAATATAATGGTCTTCTGTTAATATGCATTTTAGTAGTTAAATTCCTGGACTGTCATTGCTCATTAAAAGTGCTGTCATATGGGTGGGAATCGGGTCACTATTGCATTTTATTAATATCAGCAGAACTGACTTAAATGGGGCCTGCGTGTTTTGTAGTCTTGCCTTAATCTAATTAAGCTAATTGCATATATTTGCATGTTTATGCAACCACACTTAAGTTGCGGACCTCAGCTTGTACTAAGAGTATCATTGTGGCTCCCGGGGCTTCCAAAGTTGAGTAGCCCCGCAGTAAATCATACTCTACTCATAGCTCAGGAATAGAAATCTGCAGGAGTATTTTGTAGTAATGTACATGAGACAGCAGAGACAAGTAGCGGTGCAAGCAAATAAGCAGCACACTTTCTCCTATCTGTTTAAAAATGTAAAAAATATTGTACATAAGTTAAAGATACTTCCATGGCACTTAAATCTCAGCACTGATTTACACAGCTACTGGAGCTCTCACTGAAGTGAGGGGAAGAGGACGTATGTGTGAACTAGAGATTCAGCAGATGATTTTAAGCCATAGTGACACAGGGCTTTGAAGTCGTCAGAGCCATTGTGCATCAGTAATATGGTAGATTTAACTAGGAACTTGTTTCTTCTCTCATCTTCTCCAGAGATATGTACAGTGGAATGTCTTGTATTGGTAGGGATTTAGGTTTGGGATGGGGGTTAGCTATCAGCCTTTTTATGATAAACACTTTTCAGCAACAATGAACAGTCATTTTTAAAATTACAGACTAACTTTCTGAGAGTCCCCATTTTTTCCACTTAAGATCATTTCATCTGAAGAAGTGGGTTTTGACCACGAAAGCTCATGATACCATACATATGTATGTTAGTCTCTAAGGTGCCACAGAACTACTTGTTGCTACTAATAGCTGTTTTTTAAAGTTACAGACTAACATGACTACTCCTCTGAGGCCTCTGGCTATGTCTACACTGCAGGTCTTTTTCAGAAAAAGGTACGCAAATTGTGAACCGCAATTTGCATATCTTTTTCTAATTCTTTTTTTGGAAGAGGCTTTTCCAACATGTGGCCCCTCTACATGGGACCAAACATGGGAAAAAACTCCTCTTTTGGAAGAGCCCTTATTCCTCATAAAATGAGGAATACAGGGCTTCCGAAAGAACGCACCCACTTTTTCAGAAACTGATCCGAAAATGTGAACACATTCCCTGGATGTGGCAGAGTTTTTCCGGGATACCTCTGTAGTGTAGACATAGTCTGAGACTAACTCAGCTTCTTAGTAGCTATTCCCGAGACATTTCAGCAAGCCTCACATTCTGTCCAGTAGAGAGCAGTTAGTGGCATGCACATGGATAGTAGCTAACACATTTAGAAGTTCATGCATACACTTCAGTTTAGAGCTTTAGGTCTCTCACCAGGAAAACTCCCATTAAAGGCTAAATTTTGGCCTGTGCTGTGCACACACAAAACTCACTTTGAAGCAAGAGTAAATCTGACACAACTGCCACCATTCCACATGCAGTTGTCCCTGCCTTTTCAAAAAAAGCTTGTGATTTTGGATTCTAGCTTGAGACACCCTACAAGGCCTGATTTTCAGAAAGATGGGTTGTTCGCATATCTGGAAATATGGTTCCTTTTAATGTGTGTTAATTTGGGGAACCAAAATTTGAGGTAACCTAAACTACTGATAACTGCGAAGAATGTAAGCTTTAGGTGTCTGGTGAAAAGGGCCTTTTTAGCTACTGTGATAGATTAGACAAAGTAGATCCAGGGTAGCATTTGGCTCTAAATTTTCAGCCAAGATCCAGTATGGGGAGTTTTCTCTATACCATGCTGTCAAGAAATCAAAATATCACAAATTAGAAATGCTGCAAAGTACCTCATGGCCATTTCTGCTTTTTTTTTCTTGTCAACATGGAGGGAAGGCAGCACAAAACTGGACTGTTTGACAAAGAGGGAGAATATCAGTACAAGCAGTCCCCGGGTTACATGGATCTGACTTACATCGGATCCCTACTTACAAACGGGGTGAGGCAACCCCGCACTAGCTGCTTCCCCCCAGCAGACCAGGGAGACGCGGAGCGGCTTTTCTCAGCAGACACCTCAGCTTGAGAATAAAGGACTGAGGGAAGTGAGGTGTGGGAGAATAAAACTGAGTTCTGGAGAAATGTTTGGCTAGAGTTTCCCCTACAATATATACCAGTTCCGACTTACATACAAATTCAACTTAAGAACAAACCTACAGTCCCTATCTTGTACGTAACCCGGGGACTGCCTGTAGTAAGAAAAGGAAGGGTTGTTTGGACACTAACGTCTAGAGGGTGCTAAGCAGCACCTGGAAGGAGCAAGGTGTTGGATGTTTAAAAAACTGAAATCAGAACTGGAGCAACAAATGAGCCTCAGTAGAAATATTGTGAAGTTTTCCCATTTTGTTTAAAGAATGATTCTTTGAAAAGTAACTACAAAAAATGACTCTGTGGTGTTACGTTTTGTTGTATCACAAGGATTTTTGTATCAAATATGTTCAGCATACAGCATTCAGCGTACACATTGGGTCTTTTTACTAATGCAAGAAGCTCTCTGAGCTCAGCCTGGATTTTGAAAGCCAAGCTCCACACTCAGTCTACATCTTATGCATCAATATCAGAAAAAATTCTAGAGACCAAATGATGCCTTCACTTACACTTGTCTTACAAGTCTGTCCTGAGGGCATGATCCAGTGTTGATGGACATAATGGAAGTGTCTCCGCTGACTTCCAGTCAGGTCTTTAGTGACATCCAAGCAGGTTCATTGCCTTAATGGGCAGTCAGAATGACACACAATTCTATTCCACTTTCTATCTCCTTTTCTCTCTGCTGTATAAGTGGACTGGAGCCCAATGGACCCCAGGAGGAGGGGTGTGGGAAGGACCAGGCAGCATGTACTTCCTCCCCTGGACAGCTCTTTATCTCCTTCTAAGTCACTACTATAGAGGCCACCAGCTTTGTGCAGGTATGGATGTTAAGTGCCTGACTGTGGGGCAAGTGGGAATGGGTCAAGTTTTGTTTCACAGCTTGCAGCCTTGCAAAGTCATGTGTGAGCGACCATACCGTAAACAAATGGAGCATCCATGACTTCCGCTGTTGCTTTTTTAAATCATGAGGGATGGGCTGCCACTTTGCCATGGGACCAGCCTGTCTGTAATGAGAATCAAGGTAGTGGTGGTTGAAGATCATAACTGTCCCTAGTTATAAATGTGCTAATTAACTAATGACCCTTCTGGGTCTCTGTGGGTCTATTTAGTGCAATGCTGTAGGGCAGGGGTGTCCAAACTTTTTTCAAAGAGGGCCAGATTTGATGAAGTGAACATGCGTGAGGGCCGACCATTTTGCCTGACATTCTTTGAACCATTAAAATTAAATGCAAATTAACTATTTTATGCAAAGTTTATTGCAAACGGCATACTTTTCATTTCGTCACATGGATGACAAATCTAAACAGGTGTTAAATCACTCTGCCTTTCATATCTGAAGGCCAGATGAAAAAAAAATCCAGGAAGCTGAAATATATGTCAGGAACATTGTAAAGTACATTACATATTATTGGTAATAAAGGTTGTCTGTCAACTTTTAAGTTCAAAAAATATGAACAGGAACATAACACCAAGTATACATGTTGTGTCCAAATATATTTATAACTGATTTAGACCAACTGACATTAACTGAGATTTTACAATGTATTCATCTCAATACATATGGATTCGTTGGGGGCCATAAAAGATAGATATTGCCAAATTACCTGGGGGGCCGAATTAAACCGGAACATGGGACGCAATTGGCCCGCGGGCCGGACTTTGGACATGCCTGCTGTAGGGAGTCTTCTCTAACACTCTGCTGAGCCTAGGCTGTGGAGGTTACTGCTGGAATATGTGTCACATCCCAGGGGGAACTTGACAGCTGCCTTGGCCATAGAAGTTGACAAAGAAGGTTGCAGGTTTAAAACAAACAAAAGGAAGTATTTCTTCATGCAACACACAGTCAACCTGTGGAACTCCTTGCCAGAGGATGTTGTAAAGGTCAGGACTTTAACAGGGTTCAAAAAAGAACTAGTTAAATTCATGGAGATTAGGTCCATCAGTGGCAATTAGCCAGGATGGGTAGGAATGATGCCGCTGTCCTCTGTTGGTCAGAAGCTGGGAATGGGCGACAGGGGATGATCACATGATAATTACCAGTTCTGTTCATTCCCTCTGGGGGCACCTGACATTGGCCACAGTCGGAAGACAGGATACTGGAGTAGATGGACCTCTGGTCTGACCCAGTATGCCCATTCTGATGTTCTTCTTATCCTTGAAAACAACTGGTCAAAATCGCAGATTCTGGCCTAACAGCAATCTGACGCTGGAGCCAGCCAAACCCCGCAGGCTGCATCCCTGTGTGGTTTCCCCAAACAACTGAAACCCTCTCTGGCTGGGAAGCTACTGGAGGGTGAGGGTGACATGTCCGCGATTTGCACCGCAGGATCTTTAACACTCAAGGTGCGGAATGGCGGAGGCTTGCCGGGTCTGCGGCTGATGCGCTCTCCCCGGCCAGCAGCGGGCGGAGGAGCGGCCCGAGGGATGCTGACAGCTCCCGCCCGGCCCAGCTGTGCACAGAGGAGCAAGTCGGTGGGTCACGTGCCGCTGGAGGAATGCGGGGACTGCGCGTTTGCGGAGGGAGCGAGAAAGGAAGGTCCCAGGCAGCTCCGTAGCCCGCCCCGCCCATTCCAGCTGCGGCGCAGCGATTGGCAGGAGAAGGAACCAACGGGCGGCGGAGGCGCTCCCGGTCCCTCCAATGGGAGGGAGGTTAGTCCCAGTGTTCCACACGGGGATGGGGCGTGCTGCGTGGTAAGAAATTGGATATAGTGTAAAAAGGGCGAGAGAGACCATTGAGCCTGCGGCTGCGGCGGTCAGGAGGCAGCGGCGCCGCCGAAGGTGAAAGGGGCCTTGTGAATTTCAGATTAAGCGGCAGCTCTCAACGCAGGTCGGATGGTGAGTGCTGGCTGGGACCAAGTCTCCTACTGCGGGTGGGCATCTTGGGAGAAGCAGCGCGCTATGTGTCCAAGGGTAAGATAGGGGGAGGAATACGGAGAGAAAGTTTAGTGACGTGTCTGAGCGGGGAAACTAACTTATTTTGCAGCAAGCAGGATGGCATCCCATTGAAGATGAATGTTTAAGGTCCCTCCCCCTCTCCAGCTACATCTGTGCTCTCTGCCCTTGCGTGGAAACAGTTGCGGTCATCGAAGCCTTTCCCTTGCATTGCTTCATGGACAAGTTAGTGTCTTAAATCACGGGTTGTGAGCCTGGGTTGCCTCTTTTGGGTTGGAAGTAGCTGTAGGGCTGAGTTGCCTTCAGGATGGGCACACACAAGCGCACCGAACTAAAAACAAAGTGCATCTTGCTATTCTTCACTCATCAGTTCTGTAATAAAACATGACATGACAAGTCCTCTAGGTGCAGGATGTTTTGTATATTTAAGTCCTAGGAAGTCATAACCATCTGCCTCTGACATTGGTGTGCTGGGGATACCTTGCTAAATTAAGCTGTCAGAGAAGAATTATCACTTCTTTTCTGTAGAAATAAAAAACCCAGCCCATCTGAAATCAGGTTGAAGATTTTTTTTCTTTTAATAAACTTTCCCTGGTATCATGCATGCCAGAGAAAGTGCATGTGAGCTGTAGAATGATTGACTGGTGGCTGTTCATAACACCCCACATCGTTCAACTAACTATATTAAGTATTGACTAATTGAATAGTCGATGCCTTAGGGCTGTTGCTACACTTCAAAAGGTGAAAGCGCCATGTGGAGCCAGAATCAGCTAGGGACTCCCCCACTGACCTTGGGCTCTGTGCGGTGCTGCCGCTTTGAAATGCTGTGAGGAGCCCTGTGTCGAGCTCCTTGCAGCATTTCGAAGTGGCAGCATCACATGGAGTCTGGTATTGACTAATTGAATAGTCGATGCCTTAGGGCTGTTGCTACACTTCAAAAGGTGAAAGCGCCATGTGGAGCCAGAATCAGCTAGGGACTCCCCCACTGACCTTGGGCTCTGTGCGGTGCTGCCGCTTTGAAATGCTGTGAGGAGCCCTGTGTCGAGCTCCTTGCAGCATTTCGAAGTGGCAGCATCACATGGAGTCTG